GGTAATCTACTTCCATAGTGAAACTGCCTCAGAAACCCAAGAAGGGGTCGCTATGAGTCAGGGCCAACTCGATGGCACATAACAACAACAACAACAAAGAGCGGACCTGTGGAGACTGGAGAAAGTATGTCCCACTCTCAACATTGTAAAATGTTGACAACTAATTTGCATTTTTAAAAAAACACTGTGTGGGCCAAACAGCACATGTCTGGGCCACATCCTGTGGGTGCTAGGAGTCCTCCTAGAGTATCAGGAGCTCCGGTGGCATAGTGGTTAAAGCATATGGCTGCTAACCAGAAGGTCGGTGATTCAAACCCACCAGCTGCTCCACAGAAGAAAGTTGAGGCAATCTGCTTCCATAAAGATGCACAGCCTTGGAAACCCAATGGGAGTCACTATAAATCAGATTGAACTTGATAGCAGTAAGTGTGGCTTTGGTTTGAGGGGTCCTCCTAGAGACTCTTGGAGGAGGAGGACAGTGTTTGTTCTCTGGGCATTTCCTGCTCTCTGAGGGGCATCTGTTCCTTGTATCTCTCAGACCTGGCCCCTTGATGATTTTCTTCCAGTACAGCCCCTCTCTCCTCCAACCAACCACAGCCCACCCAAGAGCTAGAGTCATAAACCCAGGCCCAGATGTGGCCTACCTTCCCAGGCTGTCCCAGGCCAGCTAGAGCCTGAGAGGGTTCCTAAGGCAGGGCTAGGACAAAGCAGGTGTTGAGGGCCTCGGAACCCTCTGGCTCTGCCCAAGCCCTATAACCTGATGACTCCTTGATCCTGACATTGTGAAACCCTGGACCTTATGACTCCAAACCCACAGGGCACAGCTGAGCCGAGCTGTTTCCTGAACCTCTGGCTACTCTGAGGGGCTGATCACCCATCCCACGCACTCCCCCAGCACCAAATACACAGGCTACACAGACACTGCCACCCGAGCAGACAGCCAAGGTCCTGCATCAGCTATTGCAGGTTGCAGGTTCTGTCTCTCTTTAAGGCTTTCCCACTCCCACCCCTAGTCTCCTTGAGGGAAAGGTAGGACTTCTTGCCTGGCTGATAGATGGGGAAACTGAGACTCAGAGGAAAGCAGTAAGTTTGCCCAAAGTCCCTCAGCTACTTAATCCTCATGGAAGGACTCTGCTAAAAATAGCTTCTGGGACCCAGAGTAAGAAGGGGTGAATTCTGGGGCTGGCATTGACATTATTCTTCTGCCTTGACCGCTGGGCGGATGTTGTGTACAGCAGCCACTAATGGCGATGATGACATAGACTGGGGGCCTGACCTTGCCTGAACTCCAGCTGCTTGGGCTCCCTTGCCCAGGCCAGGTAAGATGGATTTGTAGGCTGCTCTGAGGCTGGAGACAAGAAAGGAGGGAGGGAGAAGGGAAGGAGGAGGGAGGAGAAAGAGAAGTGAGAAAAGGGAGGGAGGGAAGGGACAGGAAGGAGGGAGAGAAGGAAGGGAGAGATGATAGAGATCACAAGTCCATCAGAATGGGGCCCACTCTTACTAGCACTGAGGCAAGTGGAGTAGCTTCTGCTTCACAGATGTAAAAACTGAGGCTTAAGGCATGGAAGTCATTTGCCCAAGATCCCAGAGCCAGAAAGTGGCAGAACCAGGATTAGAACTCATGGCTTTAGCCCTTCTTAAACTAGAAACCATTCAGGCAGTATTTCCTAAAATGTAATCCCAAGACACCCCACCTCTGTATCACCAGGAAGGAGGCCTGGTTAAAATGCAGATTCCTGGTGCAGAATCAAAGGAGTGGGCCCAGGAATCTGCATTTTAAACAGTGTCCTGGTGATGGGTCTTTAAGTGCTGATGCTGGGAAGCCCCATGGCTTGTTTGTGGCGCTTCTGATCCAACTTCCTGGCTGCACCCACAGCCAAGCTATTCTGGCTGGCTCACACTGCCCCCCACCCACCCCAACAGGCCTGGGTCTTTCCCAGTAGACATTTTGCCCACTAGCCTCCCTGTTCCAGGTAGACCCACACTTCCAGCCAGCACCTGCCTCTTCTCTGGAAGCCTTCCTGGGGATGTTCCCCTACCCACTCACCAACTACCTCCTACTCCCCCCCCCCCCCCCCACCCCCACCCCCCACCCTGTTCTGGCCTGCTAGAGTAATACCCTCCTCCTCCATCTGGAATTGTTTAGAAATTCTATTTCACTTTCCGTGTGAGTCTGCCTTGTTTCACAACCATTCCCTCTATTAAACAGGAAACTCCCAGAGGGCTGGAGCTTGTCGGTTTAACAATAAGTCTCTGAAACCCATGACTTCATCCTGACCCTCCCGGTCAACCATCAAGTGGCAGGGCTGGGACAGATTTACAAATGAGGAAACCAGATCTCAGAGAGGTTGTGGCCTGCCCAAGGTTAAAGCCAAATACAATTCAGAGCTGGTTTGGGAAACCATGTGCAGCTCTTTAGTCCAGTTTTTTCTGCTTCTGCTTTGCCTTTGATCACCCAAACAGCCCTGTGATGGCAGCAGAACAGGGATTAGGATCCCATTGTCCAGATGACGAAAGTGAGGCTCAGAGATGGGCAAAGCACCATCCTTGCCTGTTCCTACTTGTACTTGCACTTGGGTTTGAATCCAGGTGCTGATCTTTTCTCTCTCCTTCTCTCTGGCCTCAAGCTCTACCCAGGGCCCTTCAGCAGAATGGGGCAGAGTCCTCATCCTTGCCCTGCTCTGGATCCATGTCTCCTCTGCAGATGGAGGCTCACTTTGCCTCCCTTGCAGCTTGCTGGAGGCTAAGAGAAAAAGAATTGGGAAGTACCTGGACACACCTTGGCCACCATGCCTCTGGACTTTGCCTCTCTTATGAAGTGCCCAGCTGGGGAGGATGCCTTTTCTCTAAAAGTGGGGGAGGGCAGCTCTGAGCCTGCCACAGGCCCTGCCCAGCCTGATCGAAGCTGGCCTTTCTGAGTGGGGGTTTTCCAACCCTACCCTGAAGATACGACCTTAGGGAAACTTCCAGGAGGCACGACCCAACTTTGAATTCTGGGATGGAGTTTAAGCCACCAGACTAGTGCCCAGGTGGCCAGCAGGGACTTTGGACTGACTCAACAGAAATAAACATAATAGTTAATATGTATCAAATCTTAACTATGTGGATTCCGTTTTCATCCCTCCTTCTCAACCCAGTAGGTGCTCAGTTACAGGTGTGAAGTAGATGGGTTCCATCAAGCTCTGTTGCTTCAGTCCCCTCTATACATCAAGATTAAGTCTCTTTATCTCTGTCCAGAAAGGGCTAGAGCTGGGTCTCCTTACCCTTTGGCTACCCCCATGGCCTCCACTAGCTTCTTAAAAATCCCAGCCCCCAGGACCATTCTATCCTTGGGCGATCCAGCACCTCCTCATCTGAGAATACCTCGGTCACAGCCTCGCACAGGGCAGATTCCGCTTAAGATCTGGCCTAGACCCCCTTGTACCGCCTCCTTCTTCCCTGCCCAAGGCGCCCATTTTCACAGTCCTGTCGACTGGAAGGCAACTAACAACAACAATAAACCCAGTTGGCCATAGCGCCTGCTTCCCTCTCCGACCCTTGCCCTTTTATGCCCCACAATGGGGGCATCGGATTCCGAAGCACAGTTGGAGAGCAGTAAGGGTACAGGACCAGGTCCGGGAAAGAAACCTATCACACCCACTGCATTGCCTCTCCGGCTCGAGACCTGACAGCCTGGGAAGCCCCCACCCTCCCCAACCGCCCCAACCGCCCCAACCGCCCCAATCGCGCCCGTCGAGCTCACGTAAATGAGTCTCTACGTCCGGGCCTCCAGACTCCGGGAGCGCTACGCGATGCGCCTGCGCAGAGGGAGACTGCAGCCATAGCGCATGCGCAGCGGTCACTCTCTGTGTATATTAGGGAGAGCGCGCTCGCGGCCTGAGGTGTCTCGGGGACAAGGTTACGGCATTTGGTTTCGCAGTCTTGGCTCGGGTGCTTGCCGTTGCCGCCGCCGCCGCCGCCGCCGCCGCCGCCTCCGTAGAGCCCCCCCGCGCAGGTGAGGACCCACGCTCTGGATAGAGGACCAATCCCGGGAAGCTCGCGCGTGTCCTTCCAGCCCGGGCCCCCGGCCTTTGGGACCCCATCCCCCACCGTCCCAGTCACTCGCGGCTTCGAGGTCAACGTTCATCCCCCAGACCTTTTGCCTGTTTGGCCGGCTCATCTTCCCCCGTTCTGTTCTCGCTCAACATTCTCCTTTTAACCGGCCGCTTTAGAATCCCTTCTCGTCCCCTTCCCGTTATTCCTGATCCCTCGACCCCCGGGTAACCTCTGACCAAAGACTGTCTCCTTCCATCAGTTCAACGCCCTGATTTTTAAAACCCCTGTCCCTCCCCTTTTAGCCCCCAAAGGCTCTTCTCCGTGGATCCCTGCCCTTTATGCCCCTTCTTTCTCAGTTATGCCCCAGTCAGCGGCTGTGGGGGCAATGAGCTCTTAGAAATTCTTCCCTAACAGACCCAGGGTCTGGCTGGGAGCCTTCCTAAGATTTGTGGGTGTGGAGAACAGGAGAGCGTAAAAATCCTTAAGGTCCAACCCCTCCCCCACCCCCAAGCAGTCTGGGAGCAAAGGCAGCTTTCCCTGCTTGGATGACTGACAGTGCCTTCTCCAGCCTCACTCCCCCGGGCGTGTGCCAGAATGCCTTTATCTGTGCTGTGCATCACCCTCCAGAAGCCTCTGACCTCCCAAACCTGTTCCTGACTTGTCCCTCATCGTCCCACAACCTTGGTTCTTAATTGTCAATACTTAGTTGATTTGATTTAGTTGCTTTTCAGATGCTTTTGTATAGAGCTAGAGAATGAAGGAGAAGTTGATGACCTGGGTAGAAAGTGGTCACCAGTCTTTGGCTGAGTCCCAAATCAGTGCCATCCTTGGACAGTTTAAGTGAGACTTACTAAGTATCCCAGGGTACCCTTGCTATAAACTTCAGGTGACACCTAGCCCCAGTAACCTTGCAGTGGTATTTGCCTGATTATTAACAAGTGTTGATGTCACTCATCGTCAGTCTTTCTGCAGGAGCCAGCACACCTCCTGGATATGGAGACTGTTGTTCGCCGCTGCCCATTTTTATCCCGCGTGTCTCAGACTTTCCTGCAGAAGGCAGGGAAATCTCTGTTGTTCTATGCTCAAAACTGTCCCAAGATGATGGAAGCTGGGGCCAAGCCAGCCCCCCGGGCCCTGTCTACTTCAGCAGTACATTGCCAGCAGGTCAGAGAAACCCCTCCAGCCAATGAAAGTAAGTGTCATTGGCAGTGAAGTGGGGGGTAGTGGTCTGAACTCATTACTAGACTAGAAGCAGTTCCAGTCCACAATGGCATTGCATTTCACACTAACAGAGGGGTTACTCTGTACCAGTCCCAGCCTTTTACATGGATCATTTCCTGGATTGTCCTAACTCCATAGGGTAGGCACTTGTCATTTTCCTATCTTTAAAGGTGAAATGATGGCCAGCTTTCCAAATAACATGTTAATGGATTGTATGTCAGTGTCTTGTAGTTTTAGTGTTTCAGCAGTGCCTTATTCATGTCAATATTAAATTAAGATGTTTATTCCAACCTTTTCTTCATCAAATTCTTGGCCTTTAGCTTCTTTTTTTTTGGCCTTTGGCTTTTAAAGTAGTGTTTGCGTTTTTAAGCATGTGTATCTATTTTGTGTATAATTTTTGGTTGTGTATTTTTTTTAATAAAGAGATCACAGTTGAATTTAGTTTTGGTCTGGTTGTGCCAGGACAGCATGAAGCTTTTCAGATTCTACTTAATCCTGGAAAATACTTTACCTCACAGATTTCTTTCAGGTTTGTTCTCTGGGTATGGACTTAAGATTGTTTTTCTTTTTTGAGTAGGAAGGTGATGTTTGTAGGATTTGTCTTGATTTTTACCATTATTCAGGAGCTATGTGTTGATGTCTTTTAACTCAAAGACCAAGATCTTCTTTTATCATTCTGTCCTTAGCAGTAGGGGAATAGCTGAGTAAAATGTGGCTTGTGCACTTGGTAGACTACTATGCAACCATCACAAGTAATACAAACTATGGAGCAGCTGGTAACCAGCCAAATGCTTTAACACTATGCCACAAAAGCTCCATTTACTAGCTTAGACAGATCTTTATAATGAAAAAGAGTAAGGAAGTACATAGAATAGAAAGTATTTTTAAAAGACCCTCAACAAGTTGGATTGACACAATGGCTGCAATGTTGGGCTCAGGCATAGCAAGGATTGTGAGGATGGCGCAAGACCGGCCATTGTTTTGTTCTGGTGTACATAGGGTTGCTATGGTTCAAAGCCAACTGAATGGCACCTGACAACAACATAGCATTTTCAAAACATACATAGGGAAAAAAGGTTAATATACCGAAATAGTTGGAATGGTTATGTTTGAAATGCTGGGTCTTTGTTTTGTTTTCCTTTCCTTTTTCTAGATTTTCTATAATGAATATGTGTTACTCTTATAATGGGGTAGGGAGTTGTCTTAGTCTGGGTAGTAAATGTCAAAGTATTTTTTCTTTTGGTTTTCCTTTACAGAAGATTTTAATGAAAACCATATTAAGACAGATGTCCTACCCAATTTGTAAGAAAGGCTAGTGTGTGGTTCATAAGAGTATTCCAGAATTGATGAAGAAAGAAGGAAGGAAGGTGAACTAATTCACTCAAAGGGAGAAAGAATTCACTGTTACTAGAAGCTTAATTACCAGCCAACTCTATTAAGTTAGTGGACTTCTTTGCAACATTTAGGTAAGAAAGTAGGTGAGGTGTGTAATTATCCTTAGGGTTTTTTTCCTTAGCATACTAATATTTGAACTCTATGAGACAACAATCTAAGGGTCTCAGTTTTAATTTAATTTGTTTTGTTTAGAAGAAAGCCGATAGTTTATATGGTAACCAACACCAAGCTTGTTTGTCAAGAACTTCTTTTCAAAATACCAGCAGAGAAAACATTGTTTGAACACTTCCAATTACCTTAAAAAGTGTATCCTCTCATGAAATATGCTGAATGTACTTAGGATAGAATTTACTAGACAGAATCCAATTCAAGAACTCTAGGTTGTCTATAACTAGAAAATACAGGCTTTTAGATTTATAAGTGAGAAATACTGTGGGTTTGAGAGGGAGCTAGAATGTGCCAATTAACTTATCACAGGAGCATTGTTGCCAGTGAGACAGATGAGAAACTAGCTTGATTAGCAGGACCTAATGAAAATAAACTTGTGTCTGGATTGTGGGGTTGAGTAAATATACAGTTTATTTTTGGAGCAATGAGAGAAAGAAACAAGTGGTTTTCTTGTATGCTGTGCAACCACATGTGATGCTTCAGTTTTCCCATTCCCCACTCAGAGGACAAAACTGCCAAAGCAGAGGTCCAGCAGACTCCTGATGGATCCCAGCAGACGCCTGATGGATCCCAGCAGACTCCTGATGGGGCACAGCTTCCATTTGAACACCTTGCCCCTGCCACGAGCCAGGGAACTGCAAGCAAATGCCCTTTCCTGGCAGCACAGATGAGCCAGAGGGGCAGCAGTGTCTTCTGCAAAGCCAGTCTCGAGCTCCAGGAGGATGTGCAAGAAATGCATGCCTTGAGGAAAGGTAAGGAGATGAAGCACAGATCATGAGGCCGAGTGAAGGCATTCTTCTGGCTTGTTTGAATCTTCAGACTTGTATATTAGTCATTACTGGGGCAGTATTTGTGTAAATACCTTCCTCTCTTAGGGCCCAGGAGGAAGGTCATCAAGATAAATAGTCAAAAGACTGACAGCATTGCAAAATGTGAGATTTTTCTTTCTGGTGAAGATGCAGGATGTGACCAGCTTTTCTTGTAACAGGCCTGATTTCTGAAAAACCTCTGCAATTAAGAGCTGCTCCCAGCCCTTTATTTCTTTCCTGCCATTTGGTGAGATCAAAGATAAAAACCAGTGGGGTTACTGCATGAAGTGCTGGTCTTCAGACCCCCCAAGCTGTGTGCCTTACTAATGGCCATCAAGTGGCAACCTTAATTCTAGCTCTGGCTGTGTTTCACAGAGCAGCCAAGACCCCACCACCACCACCACAAAAAAAAAAAAAAAAAAAGCCTCATCAACAGAAATTAAAACTATGACCAGGCACCGTGTTTTCTGTGAAGAAAATTGAGATTAGCGTTGGTGGAGGGGGTGGATAGGGAAGGCATACCGACCAGCTAGAGCACTTTGGACTTTGGTAGCTCTGAAAACAAAACACCAAACATGGGCCATTAGAGTAGCTAAAATAGAAGACGAGAAGCTTCAGACACTCAGTTATAGCTGACTTTGGTTATGATTGGCTTGTGCATGTGTGTATGTATGTGAACTAGGCAGGAAGTCGTTTTGCACAATATGTTAGAGAGCTATTAGAAACTCAGATTAAAATGTTGAGAGTGAAGTAAATCAGTCACAAAAGGACAAATACGTGTGATCCCTCTTATATGAAATATCTAGAACAGGCAAATATATAGAGACCAGAATTTATTAGTGGTTTTCAGGAGTGGGAAGGAGAGGTAGAGTCCTTGCTTAGGGGCCACTGAGTATTTATTAATGGTGGTAGAAAATTGGGCAATAGATACTGGTTATGATTGCACACCATGGTGAATATAATCAGTGTCACTGGATTATACTTGTAAAAAAAATGTTGAATTGGCAAGTGTGTTATATTTTTATGACAATTAAAAAGAAGAGTGAATGGTAGGTCCTGTTTGCCTCTTGTTACTTTTGCTGCAGAGGTTGCCCAGACCTCAGTGAACCCCAGTGTGATTAGTGTGAAGACTGATGGCGAGGAGCCAAGTAGATTGCTGAAGAACTTCCAAGATATCATGCGAAAGCAAAGACCAGAAAGAGTGTCCCATCTGCTTCAAGATAATTTGCCAAAATGTAAGTCTTAGTGTAAATTGTCTGATGTAGGAGAGAATTTGTCACTTAAACATACATCAGATTAAAACATAAAAGCACACAGTGAGCTGAAAAATGAAATGAAAACCATGTTGCTTGCTTGATTTAAGTAGGTGCCCTCAGTCACAATGACTGCAGATCCTGTTGTAGCCTGCCTTCTCTTATTTCATATCTGCTGTCTGCATGCCAGGTGCTGTGCTAAACATTTTGACACACACAGTCTCATTACTCCTCAGGATGTGGACATCAAGTAACTTGCTCAGATGAATATTTCAATAACCCGCCTAGAATCTCCCTGGTACTGAGTGGCTGAGCTGGGATTTGAACCCAGGTCTGTCTGTCACAGAAAGCCAGATGTGCTCCCTAATCATCATGATATACTTTTCTTTTGTTTTTTAGCTGTTTCCACTTTTCAATATGATCATTTCTTTGAGAAGAAAATTGATGAGAAAAAAAGTGACCACACCTATCGAGTTTTCAAAACCGTCAATCGGAAGGCACACATCTTCCCCATGGCGGATGACTACTCAGACTCTCTGATCACCAAAAAGCAGGTGTCGGTTTGGTGTAGCAATGACTACCTAGGAATGAGTCGCCACCCAAGGGTGTGTGGGGCAGTTATGTAAGTAGTCCTTGGCTTTCAGGAACCACTGGCTTTATTTGATTTGTAGGGATTGTATCATTTATAAGGGAAATTATATTCAGCAGCTAAAAATATGCACCGCAACAGCTGCTTAGGTAGTGTTAGTGGTTGGAGAATTAATCTATTGCAAATGAAATTGCCCTTACTGGGTGGGAGCTTTCACATGAAATGCAGGAACAAGTGTCTTCATTGTAGGGTTTACTGTTCACCATTTTTTGTTATGTTAACTTTGTCTTTAATGGGTTCTAGTAAAATTCTATTCCTAGTCATTGAAAATATTATACAGATCACTTTTTAAAAGCTCTGATGCATGAGAGCCAATTGATGGAGCTCCTAGGTGTGTGAGAATTCAAACTTACACATACCAGTTTCCACCACTCCACAAGTCAGTGTGCCTTTCAGTTATATGCCAAGCAAGCAATCTTGCACAGAGACATTCTTTGTTATGACTATGGATTGAGAAAGACAAATCTAGCAACACTGAAGGAAAAACTACCTCAAAAAGACATGTTTAAAAAAATGGCACCACCAATTGCCATGGAGTTAGTTCTGGCTCATAACAACCCCATGTCCATCTGAGTAGAACTGTGTTCTGAAGGATTTTCAATGGCTGATTTTTCAGAAGTAGATCACTAGGCCTTTTTTCCCAAGGGACCTCAGGGTACACTCAGACCTCCAGTCTTTCAGCTGGACAAATTACCATTTGTACCACTAGGGACTCCAGAAAGGATGATGGAACCCATCATTCGTGTCCTTCAGGAGAATTGTCATGACCAAGGAGGACCCCTGGGAGAGTTGTTTGTCAGACTCTCCAAGGAAGCTTGCTAAAGAGAGCCCCATTCAAAAGTTAATGATAGATGTAGCCAAACATTATAGAACTGGTTTGCAGAGGGCTTTAAGATGAGCACCCCTAGAGATCCCTTTTTTCTTTTTCTTTTTTTTTTTAAGGTTGCAGTGGTATGGTGGTATTGAAGAGAGGGATGCTTCTCAGACAGAAGAAGTCTTAGTAAATTAACTCAGCTAACATGTGGTCACTGTTAAATGAGCGCTTGTCTTTGATTGCCCCTAGAGGTAATTTGTTCTTCTCCCACCTAGTCTGCAGATGAAGTTGGTTGAAACTTCTGGTCCTGGGTTTCACGTAAAAGAATTGATAGAAACATAAGTTTGTGTCCTGGATCCTAGAAAGAGAAATGATCCACATAATGCTTAGAACCATGAAACTTATTTTCTGTCTATAACGTTTCGGTTTTTTTACAGGGACACTTTGAAACAACATGGTGCTGGGGCAGGTGGTACTAGAAATATTTCTGGAACCAGTAAATTCCACGTAGACCTGGAGCAAGAGCTGGCTGACCTCCATGGGAAAGACGCAGCACTCTTGTTTTCCTCGTGCTTTGTAGCCAATGACTCTACTCTCTTTACCTTAGCTAAGATGATGCCAGGTAAGGAAGTCTGTCACAGGTGCCTCAGAGTTTTTTGGGTTTCATAGTAATAACAGAAAGTTTGGCAACAAAGGTGGCTTGCTAAAGACACTCTATTGAGGGTAAGTGTCTGTGAGCATTTGTTCATGGATTGAACACGAAGTGCAAACTGCACATTATAAGTTTCAGTGGGGCAGGACACCAATGAAGATTCAGACTTGAAAAGTCTTGTCCTTAAGTTCATTGCTTTGAATGTGCTTTGTATTCTAAAAGAATCCTTTTGAGAAATCTCATGGTCACTTTTAGTTATCTCTTGAGTTTGGAATGAGGTGACCAGATTTAAAAGCACTGTGATTGCCCATCACAGGATTAATCTATACCTATGGGCCCTCTCAGAGGAGTAGCACTACTAGTTCCTTTACCAAGGAGAAACTGGCATGCAGTGTCTTTTTCCTACTGCAAAAAAGCAGTATTTTCAAGGCAAAGTCTTTTGTTTGACTGTCTAGGAAATAATTTATGTTCAGTGAAGATGGCAATAAATAGAATTTTTTTGTGTTAGGCTGTGAAATTTACTCTGATTCTGGGAACCATGCCTCCATGATCCAAGGGATTCGGAACAGCCGAGTGCCAAAATACATCTTCCGCCACAATGATGTCTGCCATCTTAGAGAACTGCTTCAAAGATCTGACCCCTCGGTCCCCAAGATTGTTGCATTTGAAACTGTCCACTCAATGGATGGTGAGTTTCTGTTTTTAAATAGAGCCTAATTTGAAAAGTTAAATGAAAAACAAGGCTAACCTGTTTAAAAGTATGGATTTGGTTTGGTTTTGCATTTTTTTTTTCACTCTGCTGAACTTTGGGTTCCGTATATAGATTTTTTCTTCTGGCTTTAGATAGCCTCTAAGACCCCAGGGTAACCTAGACATTGTAGGAAGTTCTTTTTCTTCCCAGTATTAAAAGTGATGCCTTAGAATATAAATCATCTTGTTCTGCCTGACTCTAACCAAAAGAAAATCTGTGAAATGGAAACTTCTTCAGAACAGTCTCTGGTCTTTCCTCAGGGGCGGTGTGCCCACTGGAAGAATTGTGTGATGTCGCCCATGAGTTTGGAGCAATCACCTTTGTGGACGAGGTCCACGCAGTAGGGCTGTATGGGCCTCGAGGTGGAGGGATTGGCGATCGGGATGGAGTCATGCCAAAAATGGACATCATTTCTGGAACACTTGGTATGTATGCTCTGCTCATTCTGTCCTCTGTATTTAACTTGTTACTCCAACAAAGTTCAGGACTAATTAGTCTAACTGGGATCAGGTGAGAAGACAATGTGATAGCAGGTAAAGTCTGGGCCACTGTTTATTTTAGGTGACATTTGGTCCCAGCTTAGCAGAATCCCTGGAATCATAGGGTAGGGCTACTGGAAGCAGAGTAAATCTCATAGCCTAACATGACAAAATACCATTTATTGCCACCTGGGAGCTTATTCCAAACAGAGTTCTAGCTACATGCCACTAAGCAAGAGCCTTTACTTTCTGTGCCTTAGATTGTTCTCCTTTTTATTTTAAAAAAAAAAAAAAAAAAAGGTACCTTCTAGTACTTTTCCTAGCATGGTTGTGCGGACCTACAGGTTCAGGTATTGTAGAGTGCTGAGCTCTGTGCCTGTCATGTGAAAACCATTCCAGTTCACTCTGGCTGCTTTTTTGTTTTCTCCATTCCTCCTAGCGGAGAAGCAGCATCCTATGCACTTGGGGGCTGGACTCCGGAGCCATGTTGCCTGGGTTAAATCCTGCCGGCATGACTCCCTAGCTCTGTGACCTTGGGCTAGTGAGCACCTCAGTTTCCTCATAAATATAATGAAGATAACAATAGGGTCTCTGTCAGAATTTTTGTGGAGGAGATAACATGAGTTATTTGTAGAAAATTCTTGCCTAGGTGGAACCTAAAGTATATATAGAGAGATGAAGATGTAAATTGCATGAATTTGAGAATATTTTTAAAACCTTCAGAGCTTAGTAAGGCTGTTTTAGACCATTGTTGCTGCCAATTAAAATGCCACTTTGTAGCCTTCGCTTGGTAAAGGAAGGGCAGGCCAAAAAGAGTTTCCTCAGCATTGTCAAAGAGTGTGAGAACCTTGTACAGACCAGGAGAGCCTGGGTGTTCTCAGGGCACAGCCCTGCAGAGGGAAAGTACTTGTTCATGCTGTCCTGATCCGGCAGCTCTTTTCTTCTAAAGTGCCTTTCTTGACATAGGCTCTTTGAAGATATGGTCATTGTGAGACGAAAAGAGTGGAGAGAAATTTTCCACTGGGGGGTTTGTACCAGCCCAGCCTTGCATGGAGTTCAAGCAGGAATGTTAATTACAGAACATAACATTAAGCTCTGTGAGGACTCTTCTGAAGTCCTTAATCCTGAAACTTGAGATACCAATTATACAAAGAGATTTCGTGAGAACTGGAAAAATAAAGCTGGTACTAAACCAGCCTTAACAAGCTCTGAGTTTTCATATTTGCCTGGCAAATACTAATTGCTAGTGTTTAAAGCACTCGCTGCTTTTCAAAAGGTCAGCAATTCAAACTCACCAGCTGCTCCCTGACAGAAAGATGGGGCTGTTTGCTTCTGTAAAGATTTACAGCTTTGCAAACCCTGTGCAGTTCTACTTTCCTATAGGGTCACTATGAGTTGGAATCGACTTGACGGCAAAAGGCATTTGTGTTTACTTAAATAGGAAACGACACTGGTCACACCAAAGCACTTAATGTCTTAGCTGAGTTCCATTCCAGCCTCAAGAGTTCACAGTGAGAAGATGGTACAAGCACTGCAACTCAGATCCTATTGCAAAGAGCATAGACAATATAGAACATGGGAAACAGACCCTTGGTGGGTGGCAGAGCAGCAGCCTGGATGGGAAAGGCATGTAAAAAGAAAATGATGAAAAGGGGGGTGGGGGGCACCAGCTTAATACATGGGTGCCAGGCATCTTCTGGAGACCTGCGTTTTGATCCAGGTCAGGCACTGGTTAGACCATGTTGCTTTAGGCAGGACACTTCCATACCTTTCTTCAGGTTTTTCTCTCTTAAAAAATTTTCCTCAGTCTTGGGGATTATTAAGATTTAAAAAAAGAAAAAGGAAATGCTTTGAGGTTCTGCAGCAACTTAACTGTGTGCATGGAGAAGCTATTGCTGTTACTAATGGGGTGGTCTCCTCCCAGGCAAAGCTTTTGGTTGTGTTGGAGGGTACATCGCCAGTACGAGTTCTCTGATCGACACCGTGCGTTCCTACGCTGCTGGGTTCATCTTCACCACCTCCCTGCCGCCCATGCTGCTGGCTGGAGCCTTGGAGTCTGTGCGGATCCTGAAGAGTGCTGAGGGGCGGACACTTCGCCGCCAGCACCAGCGCAACGTCAAGCTCATGAGGCAGATGCTCATGGATGCTGGCCTCCCAGTTGTCCACTGCCCCAGCCACATCATCCCCGTCCGGGTAATGGCCCGCCTATAATCAGATGCTGTTATGGTTGACACCTTCCTGAGCTTGGGTTTGGGTACAGTGACTGCCAGGGCAGGGAGCTATAACCAGTGGCCCTCTGCTGTGTCTCTGCCTTTGGCTGACTTCACAATGAGAATGAAGTCGTTAACCCCACAGGCTACAGTAGAGGTTTCCTCTCCAGAGCACTGACCTTAACATGGTAAACAGAACTCAGATCTGGAAAGCTCCGGAAGCCTGAGCTTGGCCAGCTTTGAAGTGTGGCTTTCTGTTCAATTAACTTCTAAATAGATCTTTCCCTTCCTGTTGCAAATATTAGCCTGGTTGAGTTGGCAGTGTATAACTGGTTATTTTCATCCCCAGGGTATACACATCACTGAGTGGAGACCATGGTGTGAACTGGGATTAAAGAACCACTCCCTTTTTGTGCAGAGGTGTGGGAGGGATATCACTGAAATTTACTTGTAATATGTTTTCAGTTCTCTGCTCCCTACTAAGTAATCCTGGGCCCTTTAAATTGCAGGTGTTTGGGCAGCAGTGTCCCTCTCCCCCAAGCTTGCAAAGCACTGTTGCACTCTAGCCCTGCAGCCTGAGCCTTGCGGGCACTATGTGTACTAGGAGCCCCCTCACCTCCTGTTATCATCAAACTTAGGTTGCAGATGCTGCTAAAAACACAGAAGTCTGTGACGAGCTAATGAGTAGACATAACATCTACGTCCAAGCAATCAATTACCCCACGGTGTCCCGCGGAGAAGAACTCCTGCGGATCGCCCCCACCCCTCACCACACGCCGCAGATGATGGACTACTTCCTCAGTGAGTACCTAGGGCCGTGAGTGTTTTATTGGGGTGTTACACAATACTGTCTTTCCAGTATTTATATTCTAAGGCCTTCAGAGACATTCAAGTTTGTTTCTTCTTTTCCTAAGTAATAAAGAATGGGGGAGGGGTTCTCATAGTTTAGGAGGCAGTGAGGTTTTCTTTGTGGTGATGGGAAATCTGGCAGCGATTATGAGTCATCATTATATAACATGATTAATGTAATTGATATCCTTAAATTGTACACCTGAAAAATGTTGAATTGGCAAATGTTGTGTTACATGTATTTTTACAATAATAAAAAATGAAAAGAATGGGAAAATATGTAGTACCTCAGAGGGTCAGGAAGCTCTGGTGGTATAGTGCCTACGGCATTTGACTGCTAACCAGAAGGCTGGCGAAACCCACCAGCCACTTCTCGGAAGATTGGGCAATCTACGTCCATAGTGATACTGTCTCGGAAACCCAAGGAGGGGTCACTGTGAGTCAGATCCAACTCTACGGCAGTGAATTTGGGTTGGTTTTCAGAGGGTCAAAACCCTTTAAGACATTGTCATTTGATTCGCTTTAATATGACATGGAAATCATTTTGGAAGTTGTAGGGGAGACTGCTAACTGACCCAGTGTTGGCAGTGCCTACTGAGCAGGTGACTTAAGGACGCATAGTAATGGCTGTTGCAGGAGAGAAGAGGCCTCTAAAGGCTTGGTTCTCCCCAAGCCCTTTGCACTTCTCTCTACTGCCCCAACCACTAGTGGGCCCTAAACTGACCTCACACCTACACTCTTTGATAACAGTAATTGCTCAACATTTCATTCTGCTGTGTATGCTCTCCCCTCCCCTAACTCTGTGCCTGCCCAAAAGGCAAAGACAAGCCAGGCTTGCCTCTGCCTCATGGGTGCATTGCCTCCTGCCACCACCACCACCCCACACACACACACACACACACACACAATTGGTTCTGCCTCCTTTCAGGCTTTAGGGCCACTCTGTTAGGGGTGCTCCGTTTAAACTGTAGTGTGGCAGTGGGTGTCACAGGAGTTTTTTCCTTGAAGGATTGTAAAATACAGCCAGAGTTGGGTTGTTTATTTATATTGTTCTAATTGCTTTATTGAAGTTCACATACAAGGAAATTCACCCTTTTAAAGTATACAATTGAGTGAATTTTAGTATATTTATTCACAGAATCAGGCAGCCATCACCACTGTCAATTCCAGAGCATTTTCATCACCCCAAAGGAAATCTCATGCTCATTAGCAGTCACTCCCCATTCCAACCCCTGGCAACCATTAGTCTACTTATGGGCTCTGTGGATTTCCCTATTCTGGATGCTTCATATAAATGGGATCATGCACTACATGGTCTGTGTGTCTGGCTTCTTCCACCTGACACAGTGTTCTCAAGGTGCCCCCGTGGTGTAGTATGAATCAGTATTTCAGTCTTTTTTATTGCCACATCATCATCCATTGTATGGATATATATCACATTTTGTTTATTCATCAATTGTGGGATATTAGGTAATTTCCATTTTGGGGCTATTATGAATAATACTGTGAACATTTGTGTACAAAATTTTGTGGGGACTTTTTTTAGTTTTTTAGGTCTGTACTCCCTTTAATTTTTAAAACATTTCCCCTCCCAGAGAATCTGCTGGCCACGTGGAAGCGAGTGGGACTGGAGCTGAAACCACATTCCTCAGCTGAGTGCAACTTCTGCAGGAGGCCGCTGCATTTTGAAGTGATGAGTGAAAGAGAAAAATCCTATTTCTCAGGCATGAGCAAGCTGGTGTCTGCTCAGGCCTGAATGTGACCTCGGTTCCCCAATCCTAGACCATATCATATCCACATAGTCTCCAGAGTTGTCTTTATATGTGAATTAAATTATATTAAAATTTAATCTATAGTAAAAACATAGTTCTAAAAATAAATTCTTACTTAAGTGATGGCTCCTTCTGCTACTGGCTGCTGAATCAAAAAATAATTTCTCTTTATCCATTTAATTTGTCAGTACTGTATGGATGTATAAAACAAAAAAATATACTAGCATTCTAGTAATGGCTTCAGACCTACTGGGGTGGCAGAAACCTCCAATTTTGCTTGCCCCAGCTACCACCTCTTGCTTCCTGCATCCAGCAACTGACTCAGCTGCACCAAAGCAGCTGGACAGCTCTGAAAAAAGTGATGCCACCACGGCAGTCAGTTTTTTTAATTTCTCACCTCAGGTCTCAAATGGGCAACTTTAACTGCCCACAGTGCTGCAGCTGGTTCCCTCCCGTGTTTCCCATCTTAGCTACTGCCTTGACTTAGTACTTTCCTGTGAAAGTTGGAACCAGTGAGTCTGTCACCATACATCCTCAGCCCATCTGCCTCTTATTCCTGTAATCTTGCCCTCAAGGGAAAGTGGAGGTGAATGTGCTCCTAACCCACTCCCTCTTCTATTCTGGGGCCCACCCCTTCTTGTATATTCCTGTAACCATTTCTCCTCTATCCTCAATTTCTCCCCCCTCTAGTGGCTCCTTCTCGCCGGCCTACAACAGGCTTTGTCACCCATTCAAAGAAAAAAGCCCTCCCTCAGTCTGAGCCCCCTTCCAGCTGTTGTGCCATGTCTGTTCTGCCCCTTACCCACTTAGTCCTCCACTTAGCCTTTCCTCCCTGTTGGCCTTCAGAAGCCACTCTCTGTGGTCACCAGTAATCTCCATCTTGCCAAATCCAGTTCTTTCTACCTCATTGGATTTCTCAGTGGTATTTGACATAGATCTTGGCCGTTCATTTTAAAGCTTTCTCTAAGCTGTGTGCTGACCTCTCCTGATACCATCTACTTGACCTGGTCTTCCTTGGTCTGTTTGACTCAGTCTTCCTGTGCATGTTGAGGGCCCCAGTGGGCTCCTCTCTTGCTATACTCAAACCCTATGTGCTCCATGATCTTACCCAGTCCAAAGCTTTTAGTTCCACCGGTACATGCTGTTTCTGACTTAGGTGTCCCTGACTCTGCCTGCCTCCTCCTACCTTACCTTACCTGCTTTTCCCTTTCTCTTCCCCAGTTACTCAAGTCTTTCATCCAGACTTAGCAAGTCCTGTAAATTCAGCTCTGGTCAAGCCACTTACCACTCCACTGCTTCCACCTTGGGCCTGCCACTGTCGTGTGTAGCATCTGTCCCAGCCTGCCCACACACTGGCCTGTGGAACCTTATAAGATAGGTCAGATCATGTCCAACTCCTGCCAAAAACCTAGGACTCCCCATTGCACTCCAATTGGGTTCCAGATTCCACACACACACTGACAAAGCCCTCGGGCCTCGTCTCCCGTCCTACCCTCATTGGCTCCCACTGCCCCATACTTTGGACCTCACTTCTGGCTTAAAAAATGACAGACCCTATTCAGGCTCCAAGCCTTGATGTTGGCCCTTGTTGCCCTGCTTGGAATTTCTGGGTAGTGGTACAGCTGTTGCTCTTCACTCAGGACAAGGGTCCCCAAGGAGACTCCTTAATGCTCCAACTAAAGCAGCCCCTTTTGTATTCCCACCATCATTTGACCACCTCCCTGCCGCCCTTCACAGCACAGTTACCACCATGGCTTGCCCTGGTTGGTTGGCTTAATAAGGTAATCTCCATGAGGGCTGATACTTGGTTTTCTCCTCACTTCTGTTATCAACACCCAGCAGAGTACCTGGCACACAGCAGGCCCTCGACAAATGAGGGTTGAATGAGTGAGTGAACAACATCTATGTCTGCTTCACTAGAAAGAATGGGTGACATGGAGAAAAACAGCTGGAAGACAGGAGACAGTGCCTGCCTCTCTTCTGAGTTCTAGAAAGGCAGTCGTGCTTCCTCTTCTCCTGGGAGAGTGACTAGCACCACTTCCCCAGATGCTTGGGGGTGGGCACAGGTTTCCTGGTGCACCCACACCCCTTATCAGACCAGCCTTGGGAAACCAGCTGAGTCATGGTCCCACCAGATAGTTCTCATGCCTCACAATCCCACGCCTGGAACTCCCTCGCCTCCTTTCCTTCAGATGTGACTTTTCTCCAGGCATGGGCAATGTTCTGAGGGCTTAGGAAGACACATTCTTCCTCTTCAGAGGACTCAAGTGCCAGCTCTGGCAACAAGGTCTTTAAGTGCACTCTCCCCTCATTGCTGCTGAAGGTTAAGAGAACAAAGCATGGAATGAACTGCAGGAAAGAACAGACTTGTGAGCTGCTTAAAAATGAGAAACTTGAATAAGCACCTCTAAGATATCATAGAAGTGTTTCAAGAACATTTAGAGGCCTGGGGCCTTAAGTATAGCATCTGAGACGGAAAAGGGAGTGATATTTTAAAATCTCGGTAGATAGAATTTCTTTGCATTTAAGAAAGTCCTCCCACTCTGGTTCAACTTCCAGCCAAACAATGGACAGGCCTAATAAGGTCAACAATAACACCAGGGAGGTCACACTCTAGAAAATCAACCACATGAGACCAAAAGGGCAGCATCTGCCCAGAGACAAAGTTCAGAAGGCAAGAAGGGATAGGAAAGAAGGAATGGAAACGGGGAGAGGGTGGGATGAGTGCTGTTAAATGGTGGAGATTACAATCAATGTCATGAAACAGATGTGTATGGATTGTTGAATGGAAACCAGTCTGTTCTGTAAACTTTCACCCAAATCACAATCAAAAGTCTAAAAATAAAAAGGAACATTTTCTAAGTCAACTAAAAAAAAAAATCCTCCTCTCAGGTTTCCTGACCCTTGTATTCCAGTATCTGCTTGCCTGGTGCCCTCTGCCCTCCAGCAGCAGAAAGCACAGGAAGGCAATGCCAGGGTCTGCAGGTTGTCTGTGGGATTCTAGGGATGCTCCCAAAGGGAGCTGCTGTCCCCAGCTTCAAGAGCTTCTAATACAAGAGTGTCTGCCTCTGAAACCCTATTTAGGGCTCTGAGCAGGGCTCCCTGGCCTGAGAGGATCATTCTCTGGTGGGAGAGAGAAAACATCAGAGCTCCATCAGCTGGGGGCCCTGAACACAAGTCACCTTACCTAATGGTGAGGACTGAGACCCTGCTGGAACTGTCAGGCCTTCACATACACTACCACTGATTTTTATCACACCTGGCAGAGGGGTCCTGCCATCTCCATTTATAGATGAGCAAACTGAGGCTTCCAAAGGGAAGGCCACATGCCTAAGATAACCTAAATGGCAGAATTGGGAGAAAATAAACAAACAAACAACAAAAAAAAACTCACTGCCATCAAGTTGATCCTGACTCACAGTGACCCCTCCTTGAGTTTCCAAGGCTGTATCTCTACAGAAGTAGATTGCCCAACCTTCCTTCTGAGGAGTGGCTGGTGGGTTTGAACTGCCAGCCTTCTGGGTTAGCAGTCAAATGCCTAAGGCACTACGCCAGCAGAGCTCCAATTTGATCCAAGTCCTGTATCTTCCCCAGCCTTACAGAGCCAGTGACAATGTTAATGGTTAAGGATGACTAGCCGGGTAGTGGAGAGGTCCTGAGCCCCCTATGAACATCCTTCCTGCTCACGGTGTAGTGAGCGCTCTCCCTCTCAGCCCCACCTGCGCCCAGCTCCTACTAGTCTGCTGCAGGCCCTGAGATAGCAGAGCCCTGCCTCTTCCGATCAGGTAGAAAGCAAGCAACAGAGCATTTCCCTGCAGCAGGAAAGTACCCTGGACCCCCAGCCTCACCCAGCAGTCCTCCTACCACAGCCCCCAGCTTCATCTCTAAATACTCAGCTCTGAATCCCCAGGCCCCAAAGACCCAGGACTGTGAACATAAGTAGGTTGATGGGTAGATAGCAGGTTTTACCTGGGAGCTGCCAGAGGCCAGAGTCGACTGATCTAAGACAAAGGCAAATTGTGTTTCCCACATGCAAAGCAGGGTGTTTTGAACAGGGCCCTGCTTCCTGCTCCTGTTCCTGGATGTGGCTGGAAGAGTCAGAGCCTGTCAGCAGAGGCCTCTCCAGAGACTCCAGCCTGGGGGAAAGGAGGGCTGTTGTGTTTCTTCAGTTCCAGTGATTCCCCACTCCCCACCCCAGCAGGGGCCAGGGAAGTACACCAGGCCACACCCACACAGAGCTTCCAATCAATTGATCTGAGGGCCAGAGATCTTGTTTCTGGCTTTCCCTGGGGTGAGCTGATATCAAACCAAAACCCAAACCCTCTGCCATCAAGTTGATTCAGACTCATAGCAACCCCCACTAGGTTTCCAAGGTTGTAAATCTTTACAGAAATAGATTGCCTCATCTTCCTCCCATAGTGGGTTTAAACCACCAACCTTCTGGTTAGCAGCCAAGTGCCTTACACATTGTGCCACCAGCCCACAAGCCCCTGTGCCCAAATCAGAAAGAGGAAAGTGGCTTCTACTTCCCTTCCAGCTGTGCCTAGAGACAGGCAAAAGCAATTCTCACTCCCAAGGCTGCCCACAATCAGGCTGCAAAATTAGTCATGTCTGCGGCCAGGTCCAACCTCTCCCCTGCAGGCCCTGAGAAGCCAAGCTGGCCTTGAATGGGTCTGGGCTACCCAAGCTCAGCTCAGCCATCCTGACACCAAGGCCGAGCTCCAACTGTCAGACTGCATGTGTCTCTTGTCCTCAAAGGGCAGGTATGGGCAGGTGTGAGGGTGGCCCAGGGCAAGGGCTCTCAAGGCCCTGGGCCTGACCACACCCACAACTCCACACACCTTGTTGAGTACAGACCCTGGACAGGCTGTCTCCAAGATTTGGTCCCTGTGCTTCCATCATTGTCTCAAAATACTGGGTCCCCAAAATAGAAACACACACACACACACACTCCATCCTAGTCAACTATTGCTGTATCTCCCACCTAAGTACAGTCAGCTCTGAGAAGTGGGGACAGGAAAGGTGAGTCCCCACCTTTGTAGTCAAGTGATAACTCATATGTTGTTGTTACGTGCCATCCAGTCGGACCTGACTCATAGAGACCCCTCCTTGGGTTTCCGAGGCAGTATCACTAGGCAGTAGATTGCCCCATCTTCCTTCCGAGGAGTGGCTGGTGGGTTTGAACCGCCAGCCTTCTGGTTAGCAGTCAAGTGCCTTTAGGTACTATGCCACCAGAGCTCCTTATAGATATCCTTTTTGATAATAGAGAGACCCAGCATCTCCAGGTAGAAACAGAAAGAAGCAGATTGGGACCTCATACTAGAATCATCTGTGGCTCTCGGCTGCTGTTGGGAATCACCCATACCCCTTTCTCTCCACCAGAGGTCACAATCACCCCTAGTGACTTCTTCCAACTTGGCAATGAATGTTCTACAGGGTTAGTGTCTCTCAGGCCTTGCTGGGGGCCAGAAATGAACCAGGACTCTAGGTTCCCTGCATTCATGGCCTTCTCAGTGCAGTGAGTGAGACAAGCAGAGACCTGAGATCAATACACAGCAGAGGCTTGAGCCAAGGCACGTGGGGAGAGGCTGGAAGGGGCAGGAGACCCATCCCTGCTCTCTGACAAAGACCAAGACCACATTCAGGGACCATCCTGGGACTCCCCTGAAAAGATGCCTGTGAACAAACAAACCTGCCTTTAGCAGCCCCCTCTCCTGTAGGCTACAGCCTGAATACTCTGCCTTTCTTGGTGATAGTCCTCAAAGCAGCTCAATTCTCCCTTCCTCCCCTGATATCTCCAGTGAACTCAGGAATGATTAGCTGCCTGGCCTTCCAGTAGGATTTATTGAATGCCAGCTATATGCTAGGTGTGAGGGCTTAGGGGAGTCAGGACAGCAGAATTGCAGTGTGAGGCAGGTGAGGGCAACACAGACAAAGAGGAGAGTTTGAGCATGGAGGTCGGGATGTGCCCAGAGTTGGCCCTCATGCTTGAGGTTATTCAGCTGTAGGTCCCTGGCAGAAGTTCCTATTATAAAAGTGGCCATTGTCCCTGGTCAGGGCCACACCCAGCTGGGCCCAGAAGCTGCCCTGGCCGCTGGGCTGGTGGGGCCAGAAGAGGACACTCTGGCGGCAGAGGCGCTGGCGCAGCCGCACATAGCGGGAGCGGTGAACATCGGGGCGCAGGATCACTAGCACCACCACGTCTTTCCGGTCCTCCAGCAGGCGCTGTTGGGCCAGCAGGAAGCTGGCCCGCAAGAGGCCGCTGATGCGGTCAGTGTGGGCCAGCACAAACAGCATCTTGTGGCTGCTGTAGACCGAGGCCCACAGGTTCTCAAAGAGCGTCTTGCCAGGCAACCAGTCCCGTTCCTCCAGACACAGGCGCAGTGCCCTGTGCCCGCGGCGTTCCTCCAGCCACACCCGCAGCTCGTTGTACACCCAATCAGCCACCTCGCCCTGTGCCTTGTCGAAGACCACAAAGGCATCGTAGGGCAGGCCATCTCCGCCCTGCTGCCGCCCCCACTGGGGAAGCCAGGTCAGACACAGGTGGAAGCAGTACCAGAGGTCCCAGCCACAGAGGTGGTGCAGCAGGGGCACAGCCAGGCCCAGGGCCACTGCTAGCAGTGAGAGGCCAAAGCAGTCCCAGGAGAGGGCCTCGTCCAGGCAGAGGCGCAGATCCTGTGCAAAAATGCTTTGGTCCTGCAGCTGGCCTGGGCTGCCACACCTCACATGGCTGGGCAGACCCGGCACAGCGGCCTGCACCTCCAGCAGAAAGTCCACAAAGACCGCCCCACAGGCACAGTGGAGAGGGTTGCCGCTCACATCCAGTACCTTCAGGGTACCTGCCCAGAGCCCAAACCAGGAGGGGTCCACCGTCTTAAGGGCGTTGGCACTGAGGTTGAGCTCATGTAGCTTTTTGGCCCGGGCAAAGAAGCCAGGTGCCACCAGGCTGATGCTGTTGCTGCTGAGGTCCAGCCGCTGGAGCCTTGTGCCATCAGGCAGGCTGCTGTTAGTCAGGGTCTTCAGCTGATTTCTCGCCAGGTCCAGCACTTCTAGGTTGGGCAGGAGGGCCAGGTTGCTCCAGTTGAAGAAGGCCAAGTGATTTCCACGAAGTCGCAGCAGCCGTAAGGTCTTGGGGAGCTTATCCAGGGTGCGGGGCACAAGTGCACGCAGGCGATTCTGGGACAGGTCCAGCCACTCCAGGCGTTGCAGGTCTTTGAAGAAGTGGAGATAGAGGTCTCCCTCGGCCCACATACGGCTCAGAGTGTTACCACTGAAATCCAAGGCCAGCAGCGACCTGCTGCAGAGCTGCTGGGACACTCGACTGTCGATGTTGTTGTGTGCCAGGCTGAGGTAGCGCAAGGCAGGCAGGTGGGCCACAAAGCTAAGGTTGTGGCCTATGCCCTGCATGCTGAAGGGCTGGCTGTTGTAGCTGAGGTCCAGGGCCTCTAGTTGCGGCAGTTCAGTGAACGAGTGCCCGTGGTACAGGTCCAGCTTGTTATGGGACAAGTCCAGCACCCGCAGGCTGGTCAGTGGCACGAACTGCGAGCCGTTGACTGCCTGTGCAATGCTGTTGTAGCTTAGGCGCAGGCACTGGAGGCGCGAGAGCTGGGCAAACATCTCAGGCTGGACTGTCACCAGGTTATTCCGTGACAGGTCCAAGGTAAAGGTGAGGTTTTTGCAGTTTGGCATGAAGTCCTCTTTGCTGAGAGGGTCCAGTGGGGCTGGAGCAAGATTCCTAGACTGCATCCATACCTTCTGCCCACCATCTACCTCCCCGGTGCTGGCCGCCAACTTTGTGGCTCCGCTGATGCGGTTGTCTGAAAGGTCCACATACTTCAGGCTGGGGAAGGCCCCAAAGATTCCCAGCTGAGCCTGATTGATGAAATTCATCTGCAGACGAAGACTCCTGAGCATGGGCAGACGGGCCAGAGGGTGGAGTGTGGTCTCACTGAGCGAGCGGAAGAAGATGCCATGCATGTCCAGCTCCTGCAAGGAAATCAGGCTGCCAAAGGAGGATGCCAGGTGCAGGTGGGCAAAGGACACCTTCTTGTGGTAGTTGAAGGACAGGTTGAGTTTGCGCAGCCGTGTCAGGCTTTTGAAGGCCATGGTTTTGGTGATGCAGTTGTAGAGGAAGTTCTCACTCAGGTCCAGCACGGTAAGGTTGCCCAGACCATGGAACCAAGTGGCATTCAGGCTGTATAGAGAACTGTCCTTCAACACCAGGCCTTCGAGGCGGCTCAGGTGGCTGAAAGCATCTGGGTGCAGCCGGGGGAAGCCATGTGGGCACTCCCTGCAGGGGTTGCGGGCATGGTCACAGCGGCGGCAGTTCCCACCCAAGTCCAGTACACGTAGGGCAGTCAAGTTGGCCAGGTCCCCAGGTGCCAGGCTGATAATGTGGTTATAGGACAACAGCAGGGACTCCAGACTGGGAGGCAGGCTTTGGGGCACAGCCGTGAGGTTGTTGTACTTGAGCGACAGATGGGTGAGCTTGCCCAGGCCAAAGAGGGCACCCGGGGCCACCCTCAGGGCCTCTACACAGGGGTTCTTGTAGTAGCAGTTACCGTCCATGAACAGGAAGCGCAGGGACTGTAGGCCAGCAAAGGTGGTAGGGTCGAGTGCCAGGATGTTGGTGCGGCTCAGGGACAGGGATACGAGGGAGCTGGGGAGGGCAGGCACAGTTCTGATGCTATTGTAGCTCAGGTTCAGCTCCTCCAGAGTGGGCACAGCCAGGAAGGTGCCCCGCTCGATGGTCATGTGGCAGGAGAAGTGCATGGGGTTGAGGCTGGCTGGCGGGCAATTCCACTTCAGGTCGAGACGCCGCAGGTTGGGCAGGTGGGCGAAGTCAGAGTTATGGAGGTGGTGGATGCGGTTGGAGCGCAGGGACAGGCTGGTGATATTGCCACGGGGTGCTGCCACAGTGAAGCGGGGCACAGACTTCAGGAATAGCCAGTTGCAGTTCACGAGGCCATGGGGCTGGAGCTCACAGGGCAGGAAGGCAGGTAGGGTGCCCAGGGCCAGTGCCACAGCCAGCGCTGAGGCCTTCACCAGGAGAGACAAGGGGTGCAAGGTGCTGTGGCAGGGGCCCTGGGGGTGGGAGACTATGTGAGTGTACGTCCCCAGTCCCACTTGCACATGCCCCACTTCCCAGGGGTCCTGCAGGAGGGGCCCAAACCCCTCTTCTTCGAGACCTCCCGAGATGACCCTCTCCACCAGCCCCCATCCTACTCCCCAAGGCACACAGGGGAACTTGGCTGTAGAATTTCTGAGAACCTGGACTTGGTCTCAGAACCAGCCTTTGACTCAGAATTTGGACTCAGAATTCAGACCTGGAATTCAGCCTGACAATTTAGAACTTTCCATCATAACTCAACACCAGCTACACAGGAGAACTGGGTGAGGTGGTCCAACTTTTCCCTTTCTCTCCTCAGAGGTCATTTCTCTGTCCTCCTGAGCAAGGTAACATCTGGCCCCTACCCTCTCGACACCCTGAAAAATACCCTGTTCCCTCTGCCAGTATCCCCCATTTCTCTGTCTCACTTTGGCCGAAATCCAGGCAACAGTGAAGGTTCCATGCTGTGCCCCCGATGGGCTACTATGCCTGGGTTCCTTGCCTAGGCCAGCCCAGCTTTCACTTTCTGCCCGCCTCACCTGTCCCAATGCAGGCACACTCAATCTGGTGAGTCAGAACAGATCAAAGGGGAAGGGTGGGCAGCAAAGTGACGGTCAGAACCCAGCCCTGGGCATCAGGACTTTGGCTTGTAGCCTCAGCTCCACCACTGACTGCAGCTTTGGGTCTCAGTTTCCCCATCCACGCAAGGGTTTGGATCTCGCTGCTCAGAGCAGGGCTTCTGCTTTAATGTCTCCAGGGTTTTGTGTCCCCAGGGCAACAGCGGTGACAGACAGGCCCTTTCACTGTTGCCTGCAGCTCCCAAGCCCACCCACCGCCCTTCACACCATTTGCCAGGCTGTTCCCTTCCAGGTGCTGAGTCTGCTCTCCTACCATGACGGGCCACTGGGGCTTCTCCGGAGGGTCAGCAGGCAGACTGGACTTAGAGTTCAGGGTCCCTTCTCCCAGCAGCAGCAGCTCAGAGAAAAAGGAAGTGAGAATTTCATAACAGCCTGGAAGCCCCCTCCCCCTGCCTCTACTCCAAGCCTGGAGCCCCAGCCAGAGAGCTGGGAAAACCACCCTTCTTCTACCCAGCAAAGTGGGGATGGAATAGGGGGAAGGAGACCTCCAAGAAGCCTTTTGTCGAAGGAAGAACAGGTTCCCTGTGGGCCCATCTCATGCTTGGCAAGGGCAGGGGGCGGGGGTTGCATGAGTCAGACACTATTTGCATAGCCAGATGGCAGATACCTTTTCACTCCTTCCTCTTTCCACTCGTCCCTCAGAGCACTGGCCTTTCACCTGCCCCTTCTAAGAATCCTATGGGGACTTCACACCTGTCTTCCAAGGGACCTGGGGGAAAGAGGCCCAGATCCAGTCCAAACTCAGTGAAAAATTGGAATTCTTCCATTTTTCTGGGCTGGGCGTTCTGAAACCAAGCCAAAGTCCTTCCCACACTGCAAGGAGAATCTTTCACCTCAGCCCCTTCAGGCCCCTCAACTCCTGTCCCACAGCTGGTCCTCTCATAACAGGGGCACCGACACCTGTCCCCGTGGAGCACACTGGGGTATGCGGATGCTGAAAGTGTCAGCAGGAGACTGGGGGATCCGAGCCCTCCATTGCCTTCACTCTACCACACAGCACCTCCTCTGGGAACAGGGCCTTCTCCTATATTAGTTCAGCACCTCCAGGTCCCCATCACAGCACATCCCATCCCCCAGGCAGGGCTCCTTGAAGGCCAGCCCCCAGCAGGACCACTGGGACCCTCTGACTGATCCCCTAATCTGTTCCTTCCCACCCAGGTGTCTGGAACTCAGTCTGTCAGGCCCAAAGTCCCAGGGTGACATGGGACCCCTCAGCAAGTCATGCTGGCTCCTCCTTCAAAATCTGCCTGAATCTCCCCACAGCCCACCACCTCCGTGTCCATAGCCTGGGCTGAGCCACCATCACCTCTCACCTGGACTAGCGTTGTCACCTCCTCATTGGTTGCTCAGCTGCTGCTCTCATGCCCCAGCGTCTACTCTCATTTGGGCTCTGGAGGGACCTGTGAAAACCTAAGTCACATCACATCCTTCCTCTGCTCAGACCCTGCAGGAATCTGTTCAGAGTCACAGCCACAGCCCACAGCCCATATGGCCAACAGGGCCTTCTGCAACTGGCTCCACCCCATCCTACCTCCCTACCCAGTGTCCAGTCACAAAGGTATCCTCAGATGCTTGAATACCCCCGCCTCAGGGCCTTTGAACATGCTATTCTCTGCCTGGAAGCTCTTCTACCAGATAATTGCATGGCACCTCCTTTGCCTCCTATAAGTCTCAAGGAGGGCTTCCTGGACCCTCAAAAACCTCCCACCCTGGACCCAGCACTCCTGAGCCCCCTTCACCTGCTCTTTGTCCTTCTTCAGAACAGGTTTCACCTGCTAACACACATCACGGATTTTTCACGGCTCACTGTATATTGTCTTACTCCCCTGCTGTAATGGCATCTTCTCAAGAGCAGGGGTCTTTTGTCTGCATCCCCAAGACCCAGCACAGTGCTTGGCACATGGTGGGTGTTCAAGACGTGGAGTCAATGGGTCTCCAGCATTAAGCTCTGGACAGGCACAGAGAGGGTGTCTGAGTGAGGGAATGAATGAATGAATAGAGAAACAAATGTGGTCTCTGCTGGGAGGAGGCAGGGCACATGCAATGCCTGCTCTGGGTGAATGTCATGGCAAGAAAACTTCAATGGGCCAAGTATCCAGCTGGCTCACAGGTCCGAGTGGCTCAGCAGTCTGGCATCAATAGCTGGGAACCAGTGTTTGAAATGGGCAAGGACAGACCTTCTCTGTCTCTGGGTCATGGCCAGGGTCCCAGTTCTCCTCCCTATAATCCTAAGGGCTTTAGCAGGGGCTGAGAAAGGCCCCAGGGATGGGACACTGAGCTGAGCCCCTGCCCAGGCCAACCTCCCAGGCAAAAGGGTGACATCCATCCAACAGCTAAACTGTCAATCCCTCATGTCCCCACTCCTTCCTACCTTGGGATGGGAGACTTCTACCTATTTATTAGAGGTACAGCCTGAGGCTCTGGTTGCTGCTGAAGCCCGGGCTTTCTCAGAGTCTGTGGTTGAAAACAAGGACCCAGTAGCCTCCTCTCCTCACTCCCCAGCAGCAACTCTGCCTCCCTTGGGGATAGGAAAGAAGGTACCTAAAAGAGGGCTGATGAGCTGAAAGGCAACATAGTATGTCCAGAGACACACCCCAGCCCCTCAACTGGGAAACCTAGAGACCAAGCCCTTCCATTCCCAGAATGGTCAGCTGAAAAATGCCCCATAGCTACCCAGGACCTCATCCCCAGAACCTGGGAACATGCTACCTTCCACAGTAGAAGGGACTCTGCAGATTCAGTTAAGGATCTTGAGATGGAAAGATTATCCAGGATTATCTGGGTGGGGTTTAAATGTCATCACAAGTGTCCTTTCAAGAGGGAGGCAGAGGAAGATTTGACAGAAGGCAGGCATGTGATGACAGCAGAGGGACGATGAGTCAGAGAGATGTGCCACTGGCCTTGCACACAGGTAGGGGCCACAAGCCAAGGACTACAGGCAGCTTCCAGAAGCCAGAAAAGGCAAGGAAATAGATTATCTCCAGAAGGGACCTTCTGGCCTCTGCAAGGAATCAGCCCTGCCAACACTTTAACACTTCAGGGAGCTCTGGTGGTGCAGTGGATAAGGCATTTTGCTAACCAGATCAGCACTTCAACCCTACCCGCCACTCTGCTGAAGGAAGACAGGGCAATCTACTTCCTTAAAGATTTACAGCCTCAGAAACCCAATGGCAGTTGCTGAGTCAGAACTGACTCAATGGCAATGACTTTGGTTTTTAGTTTACGGTTCATTTCAGACTTCTGGCCCCCAGAACTGTATAAATTTGTGTTGTTGTAAAGCCGCTAAGTTTGTTGTTGTAGCAGCCACAGGAAAACTAGTATATCTAGACCCTATATCCCAGCAGAGGTGTGCCTGCCTCCTAGGCCAGGCTCCTATCAACAGGGGACCCACATAAGCCTGCACCCTTTCTCACACATGGACACAGACTCCCCCTTACACCCACAGCTGGGGGAGGGCTACTAGGCTGATAGCCCCTCTGTGCTAAGACACACACATGGCCTCCCCATTCCCAGTGCCTAGACACGATCTCAGGTGTTGATTTAAAAATATTTTATTCTTTAGAAAATACAGCATTCACCCATCTTGTCCTGCAGTGATCTTCTGCTCCAGCCCCAACAGACCCCACCCCTTGTGGCCAAAAGCTTCTAGGATCCTGGTCTCGGTTTCTGAGGGTTGGGGTCATGCGAGGTGCCCCCACTCAACCCTCTTGAGCAGCCAGGTAGGAAACCCAGATCCCTGGGCACATGGATGAGAGGCAGGGACAACAATAGGGGACGTCACAAAATGCCAGCCCAGAAGCCCTCAGAAGCTACAGGGGGTGTTCAGCCACTAGCCCCCTCTGCCCCAAGGGAAGCAACCGTCCCTAGGAGGCCAGGCTGAAGGAGGGAGGTGGCAGGGAGCAGTGGGGTGGATGGCCCCCAGTCCACATGGCAGCCTGGTCAGTTCCACCCCCTAGCTGTCATCACCATTCTCGCCGGGGCCACGGATGAGGCGCTTGTGGCCCCGCTTGCCTCCAGGGCCCCTGGGCTTGGCGAAGGCCTGCTTGAAGGCATGTTGCTTGGGGTGCACCTCATCGTACAGGAACTCGGCCGTCAGCTCTGCCCCATCGCCAATCTCAATCTGTGCGGGGTAGAGCCAAAGTCACCCCTTCAGTACCTCATACCCCAGACCAGAGGTCTCCTCCAAGATCCCCAGCTGGAAAGTTACCTCCAGGAACACAGAGCCCAGGGCCTGTTGCCCTGCATGCCTGAGGCACCCCTACTCACCCTCTAGACCCAAGGGCAGGAGAGCGCATGGGTGGCTGGGGCTTGTCCATGTCACTCATCAGCTGGGCCACCTTGGGCAAAGCATGGCACCCCTGGGTCTTGGTTTCCCCATCCATCCAATGTGGCAATCAGACTCTGCTGCCACCACAGGACTCCCAAGGCCCCGTGCAGACGATGGGTGGGGAGCCCTGGAAGACTGGCCCTGGGAGATGGGTACCCACCTTTTTGGAGATCTCCAGCTGGAAGTCCTGCTCCACAGAGTCCAGGAGGCGGCTCTTACAGCTGGAATAGAGCATGCGCTCCTTGATGCTGCACTTGTAGCCCGGCATCGAGTAGATGAACACTGGGGAAGAGGTGTGGAGGTGAGGCTACACAAGCCTGGACACCTGCTGATGCCTTCAACAGCAAGCCTACCCAGCTGTAGGCCAGCGCTGCTCCTACCCAGTCAGGTTTAGGGGCCCTGGCATAGCTACTCACCCACAGACTCAAGTGGATCACCCTCGTGGGTATGCTTATAGAGGAAGAAGTGGTAACGAGCAGCATCTCGGGGCACCCGTGAAGGCAGCTGGGCCACGTCCGTGGGCTCCGTGTGCACCAGCTCAATCGTCTCCCGTTCTAGGTCCAATTTCTGCCAAGTGCCAGGGGGACATGTCAGGGTACCCGGTGAGGGGGTGGTTCACAACCCCTCCACCCAACAGGAACCCTTGAAGTGGGCTTGGCTGGCAGGCAAGGGCCAGGGTGGACCCAGCATGTGTCCATCTCCCAGGACTCTCTCTGTGAGGGTCCCTGTGAAGAGAGCACTCCTGGGCCCAGCCCCAACCCTGCCCCTTTGAAGGCTGTGCTAGAAGGGGACCTCTCACCAAAAGGATGGGCAGAACAGTGCAGATGGCCTCCCCTTGGAAGGGAGGAGCCATTCATTCTGCCTGAAGGGGCCTTTCTGTTTAAGAGGTTATACCTGCATCAGTGGGGCAAAGGAGCCCTGCCTGAGAGAAGCGTGGTCAAGGGGGCTATAGAAGGAGTCTAGGAGAAGAGAGGGGCTCAGAGCTGAGGGGTTCAACATGAACCCAGAGGGAATGCATGTGCAGTGTGGACAGGTGGGACGTGGGCAGTGTGCACACAGGTGGGTCCATGTGTGAGCAAGAAATATAGTTCATACCATCTATACACAAAGAGGGACCCAAAACAGGTACAGTGTGCTCCCAAGAGTAAACGGCTGAGCTGATGTGGCAGACTGCGGACTGTCTGCACATGTGCACATGCATGGGCTGGGGTGCAGGGGTGGGGCACACTGTGCCTGTGTATGCTGGGGCAGGGACTGGGTGCCCACCAGCTGGATGTAGTTGATCATCTTCTGCTTGAGCTGCTGTAGTGCCCGCTGAGCTGCAGGCTGCAGGGGGAAGGCGAGGCCCTGAAGGGTCTGGTGCTTGCTCTCCACACTGATCTCTGTCTTCACCTGGGGGGGATGGGAAAGGTGAGTGAGGCCCCTGCCTGCCAGCACCAGGGACAGCCAGGGGCAGGGAGCACAGGCTTGGCCAGCAGGGGCCTGATGTGGCCTTAAAGGTCTCTGGCTGGGATTCCTGCCACCTTGCCTAGAGCACCCACCTCGTTGATACGGATCTGCTGGAGCTCTCTCTCGGCTGAGGTCAGCGGGGCGGGTGCTGCACAGGATGACAGATGCTTCTGGTACCCAGCAAAGGAGAGGTCGTCCTGGCCGGGGGATGAAGAGGCATATATGGGCACCTCTAGAAGAATCTCAGCTTGCAGCCCCTGGACTCTCCCATCATGCACTAAGCTTGGCACTGACTTGCTCTGTGCCTTGCACAACACCCCATACTCTATGGTCTGTGATCCCACCTGGTAGGGCTGGTCCCCACCTGGTGGGGTTTGCCCCACCCAGGGTCTGGGGGAGGAGAGGCAGGCACAAGGGCTACCTTCACAGTCCCAAAGAGCTCATCCTTGATGTGGCCACCCCCAAACTCCTTCTTCACTGTGGCCCGTGTGGCTGCATATAGCATCTTCAGCCGTACCTGAAAAGGGGGAAGGTTGTGAGATCCCTTAGGGCAGCAGTCTCTAGGTGGGAACATGGCCAGCTCATTGTGGCCACACACTCAGCAGAGGGTGCAGTGAGGAAGGGAGGGGGCAGCAGGGCCAGCTCTGGCCAGCAGGGGGAGCACTTGCTCAGACCCACCCTCTGCTTTCCAGGGCCTTATCCCTCAGACTCTGTTCCCTCTTAGATCCACCAGGACAGGGCCTTGTCTCTCCCCTTGGATGCAGCCCTCCCCAGCCCTGACCTTGGGGCTGGCCAGGGGTCCCTCAGACTCACAGGGGAATTGTCAGGTGACCAGGCGAGGAAGAGCCACTCGAAGCCCTGGGCGTTCTGTGAGTCGAGGCGGTAAAGTAGGTAGCAGGGCTGTTGGGCGTCCAGCAGTGGCAGCACAGACCTGTCATAGTCCTGGTCCCAGCCACCCGCCAGATCCCGCGAGGCGCCCAGCATGAGCTGCTCTAGGGACAGAGGCCGGGTGAGCCAAGGAGCGGCCATCTCCCACTTCCACCTCTAGACATGGCCTCCTGACTTGCCAGCCACTCCATCCCACCTTCCCCTGGAGCTCCCATGTCCCTGAAGCAAAATGCTACATCACTGAATCAGTGAGTGAGTGAATCAACAAATAAGAGCACAAAGCTGCCAGCTAGAAGCTGCTTCCTTTACATACCACCAGCATATACCCATAGATATGTGTACAGAAATGGCTATGAGAATATGCCCACAGTCCACCCAACACAGACAACCTCATGAAGACACGGCCATGGCCCATAGCCGCTGATACTTCGGCCCCTACAGACACCCACACAGCAGGCTGCCCACTTCGATCCTATCCTGCCAGCACAGCTGCTCCGCATTCAATCACTGTTCCACCTCCCGTTCCCCTCTTCCCTCAGTCTAGGGGCTCAGGCGATCAACCAGCCCACCCCTCTCGGAACAAATGTGCAGAGGTAGTGTCACAGCCTCAGGCCACAAGGGACTGCAGATATATCTAAGAAAGAGGGTGTGGGATTTTCCTCTCTGTATAAACAGGAATCCTGCTGCTACTCTGCCAGCTGTAGTCCCCTCCCTAAATAGTGACAAAGCAAAAGCGACTGACCTCTGAATGCCTGGGGCCAATAGGCCTGCCACCTCCCTGTGGGGTACAGAGTGGCTGAGTGAGGTGTAAGTGTCAGGGACTGGTTAAGCCAGAACTGGGCCTATCAGCTCATGCCTGCAGGGTACCAAACACCAGCCCTGCACAGATTATAGAGGAAAAGCTGGCCAAGTGCCCAATCAAAGCCTTGCCAGGGTGTCCTGGCACCTGAACCACCAGCCCCAAGAACTTCATCACGCCAGGCGGAGTAGCTCAGCTGCCTCTCTTCAGGCCTCAGCCTCCCTGCCTGCCCTCCCAAGAACTCAGGTCAGATCAGGGCTAAAAATCAGTAGTTAGCGTGAGTTGACAACATTGTTTAATTTGTTGCCAACATTTTCAAACTGGAAAATGTGACATAAGAAGTGGTATTCATGCCTTCTCTAGAAAAACCAGGAGCTCTGGTCATACTGGGCCATACGCCTGAGGCCACATCAGCTGGACATGGGCAGGGGTCACTACCAGTGAGGTCTGGACCCTCTTGTCTACTTTCAGGTGCCCCAATAACCACAATGCAGAACTGAAGTAAAAACCCACCTAGAGATACCACCTGCTTTAAATCCGCAGGGATGTCTTATCTGGGGGAGCAACAGGGAGGAGTAAGGACTGGAGTCAATAGAATGAACCAGCTGGGTTAAGGTGAAGGGTTGTGGTCCGCCACCCAGACCCATCACAATGAGCCCTGCCCGACCCTGTGGGCATCTGAGGATCCTGGACAAAGCCCAGCATAGCTTTGGCTCTAATAGTCTAGGGTAAATCCTGTGACTGGGTGGAAATTGCATTGAGTCAATTCAGTGTGGAAAGTCAGCTGGACAGCAAGCCCACGTGGGGAGCCCCACAAAGGGCCTATCACAGCTGGGCTGGAAGGACCCATGGGGGAACCAGCCCACTCCCAGTCTCAGAGTCTGTATCCCTAAGCTCCCAGCACAGAACCTCAGCACAGAGAGGAGGGGAGGAGTCCTCTTTCCTCAAACCACTACCTCAGTCTAATTCTCTGCCTCCTCAGACCCTCCCTACTTCCAGCCTCAGTTCAAGCTCCCATCCCTGCATCCTATTCCCTCCTCCTGTGCAGTCCTCAGGCCCTAGGGGATGGCCTCGGGCCTAAGGCAGTTGCCTGCCAAGCCCAAGGCTGGCAGTTCAAACCCACCAGCTGCTCCCCGCCAGGTAGACGAGACCATCTCTTCCTCAGGAGCTCTGGTGGCATAGTGCCTAAGGCATTTGCCTGCTAACCAGAAGGCTGGCAGTTCAAATCCACCAGCCACTCCTCGGAAGGAAGATTGGGCAGTCTACTTCCATAGTGATACTGCCTCGGAAACCCAAGGAGGGGTCACTATGAGTCAGATCTGACTCAACAGCAGTGAGTTTTGAGAGTGCAGTCCTCGAGGTCTGGGCCAAGGCCTAGCCAAGCCTAGAATGCCCATGTCCTGCTCTTGGAGCAAGCTGGGTACAAGCCCCTAATCCCTGTTGGTGGGGCACTCCCCAAGGGCAGGGCCCCTGGTGGCTCCTTGGGTTCCCCCAGGCCAGCAGCTAAGCCAGGCCAAGCCTACAAGCCGCAAACAGGGTGGTGGGTGGCACGAGCCACAAAGGGCAGTCCCGCCTGGCTGTTTGCTGCCTGTCCTCACTTATTCCCTGCCCTCTGCTCAGCCCAGCCCTGCGTCCTGATGAGGAACATCTCACTACCTACTTGTCTGGGGAGGTTGGGCAGGACCCCAAGATAGGGCTCCCCTCAAAACCCCCACCTCCAGCTTCCTGGCCTGTGTCACAAGGGTAATAATCATGCCGACCCCCATACTCTCCTATGAAGTTCTCTGCAAGTGCCCGTACCTCCTCATTCCCAGATGAAGAAACTGAGGTTCTGAGGGAGCCAGAGGCCAATACCCCTCTCCCCCCAAGAACAAGCTGGGTCCAGCCCTGTGCCCTAGCCCATGGGGAGGGGGGCACTCACCGTCCTCAATGATGACTTTGATGAGCCGGACAGAGCCGGCTCGGGCCTTAGCAAAGAACTCCTTCAGCTCCTCAGTGGCTACAAGAACAAGAAACATGGTGGGGGCTGAGGAGGCAGAGTGGGCAGGGGTGCGTGTGAACTCACTCTGTCCTCTGGGGTCTGGTGGCTGAGCTGGGAGCCCGGGTTAAATATGGTCACCCATGTGACCAGGAACCTGAGACAACTGCCAAACATAAACTCCCAAATTTAGCCAGCAGAGGTGGCAGGCGGGTGGCCTGCTGTCTGGAACAGCTTCAGTGACAGAGTGGGTGGGGATAGGCCAGCTCATGTAAGGATAGGGCAGGTTCTGGGACAGGCTGGGTCAGCCCAGAATGAATGCCCCCACTTTTCCCCTTTCCCCCAGGAAGGCCTGCTACTGGGCTGGCTTGGGACATTCCCAGCTCTGCCTTATCCACAGGCACAGGAACACATGGATAAACACTTCCAACGTGCACCAACACAAATATATCCATCAAAACACGCACACACGTCACGTATACATATTCAATCCAACATGTATGAATGTTGTTGTTGTTGTTGTTGTTTGCCATCAAGTTGGCCCCGACTCATAGCGACCCCTCCTTGGGTTTCTGAGGCAGTATCACTACGGAAGTAGGATTGCCCAACCTTCCTTCCGAGGAGTGGCTGGTGGGTACTCACATATAAACACATTACTGTCACAGAAAGAGAGGAGCACAAATGCATACACACACTCATATGTGAACACATACTCAGCCGGTCAAACACAAATAGACACGTTTAGACATGGCATCACACGCAGAGTTTTCAGGTTCTACAAACACAATGACAGGCAAATATAGAACTTGGCTACGACATGCATGCAGACAAGACGACATACAAGTATACACATACACACACCAGCATGAACACCCAGCTGTCAGACAGGCTAGCTGATGTCGAGAGCTACCCTCACCCACAGCACAACCCTGCAAAGGGGCAACTAGTCTCCTGTCCCCAGGCAGTAGGGAAGGCTTCCTGGAGGAGGTGTAGCTCCCAAAACAGATGCCATCTTCATTCCTGGGCTGCAGAACTAGGAAATGACAGCCAGTAAGCAAGATAGTGACTGTGGCAGTGAGGACAGGTCAGAAGTAGGGAATCATGGGAAGTACAGACCCACTAGTGGTTCAGATGGAGACAGCAAGGGCTGAGTGGGGAAGAGCCCTGATTAGG